CTACACCATGGGAATGGTGCACCGGGCAACCAATAACCCAGATAAGCCGCAGAGCTCGTGTGAGTGACAATAATTCTACGCATGTGATACTATAAAAAACCAACCATCGATTTTGTTTATAAACATTAAATATAAAATCATATTTTATGAATCATAATGAAGTCATTGAAAATCCTGAAGGAGTCACCCAGACCTCCAACGGCTTATCTGAAACAAATCACAAAAGCTCACAACCATAAACTCATACAACACAATGAAAAGTAGGGTTTGAGCGACACAATTCGACCGAAGCCTACATCTCTAAAGCTATCTTAATCCAAACTCAATCCGAAGAATCAACAAAGAAATCAATCAGGTTTTGAACCTCTCAATGAAACCATAATACCAAACGAGATTCCGGATCACTTAACGAAATTCAACCAAGATACGATTTTGGACCACTCAACGGAATTACGGAGTAGAAGGGATTCTGGACCTCTCAACGAAATCCAAGTGGACACGATTTCGGACCTCTCAACGGAATTGTGGAGTACAATGGAGACCACTCAACGAAATCCAAGCTAGATACGATTTTGGACCACTCAACGGAATCGCGGAGCACAAGGGATTCCGGACCACTCAATGGAATCCAAACGGAGCAGGGAACCGAACCACTCAACGGAACCCCAGCGGAAACCCAGTTCTGGATCACTCAATGGAACCGAGCAGAAGGTCAACAACCATAATGTACAACAGCTCAAAGGGACGAGACAAGGCACAAGTTGCTTAATTTACAAAGGCTTAACAAAATGAAACAAAGTGCAAGTACTAAATTTAAAACGAATTAACGAAGAGGAACATGAAACAATATTGAAGCAAAAAATCCCTATCACAATGGGTTAATGGTCCATTACTAGCCCTCACATTTCATCAAAACATGCCAATCATACAAATCAAACCATATTTTAAATATACACATGAAATCTCATTTCATAAACATAAATCGATGGCTAAATATTAAAAATAACAATTCAATAGAAAACATATTTATAAAAGCAAGTCATATCCACACAGGATAATAACTATGAAAACAGAGTAATCACATATTAAAGTCACTCACCTGGAGCCCGCACTACGACTCCTTAGCAAGAATATCGAGATGTCACGAACGATCGTCGCCTAGAATAAATATCAAAACACATCTTAGAGTTTTATCGATAGAACACGTAATCGTAGCTTGGCACGTCATCTAGGACATTCTAGAATGATTTGGAACCAGTTGACCAAAGTTAACAGTGGGTCAAAGGTCAACCATCGAGTCCACAACCCTAGCAATCCAATTCAGAAGATCCACAGATCGGATTTTGGATCCGTAACTTCCTAAGGTCCTAATTATGCTCATAGAACAACATACTAAAATTTCATTGTGATTCGACGATCAGATCTCCATTAATCGCAAATTCAAGTGGTGATCAACGTTTGATTTTACAAACTTAGAAGTTCAATTCGGGAAGATCCGTATGTCAGATTCCTGATCCATAAATTGCTAATGTTCTCAAATATAATATCCTATTAAAGTTTAGTGACGATCCAACTGTTGGATCGTCAATTCATATAATAACCAAGTGGCAGTCTCTATCAAAACTATAGTCATACGACGAGATTTCGTCAATCAAATGTCATATATGGAGTCAGGGTATTCAAATTAGTTTAGAAAGGGCAGGTGGGGTCTTGGCCCACATGCTGCCACAGACGGTGACCAGTCACCCCGATTAGTCGAAAAATTCAACTTTTTCCAAAAATTACCAAAATTTTACTTGAAGGAAAATCTTAATTAGTAGAGCAAATTTTATACCTATGGCCAAGTCCAATTTAGCTGGGAAAGGCCCCAAATTGGCTCACACCCGTCAGAAACCCTATAATGGGTGAGCTTCGATTCTCCTTCCTCGGTGTTCTGACACCCCTACAATTGGTTGGGTCTGCTTCCTGGGTCCAAGTGGAGTTGATTAAGGGTGGTTGTGGGTGGTGAGACTCACTAGAACGGCGGGATCGCCGTCAAAACTCCACCGGTCACCCGCACGGTTTTGGACTTAAAAATCCTTAAATTTGGGAGAGTAAGGTAGATGGGGAGTTGTGGAAGAGGTTGCAAGTGGTGGATCTATGAATTTCAATGGAAAAAAATGGTGAAATTTGTTAGAATCAAATCGGGTTGGCCGTGGGTACACAGGTCAACCGAATGGAGTGGAGATTCGTCTCTATCCTCTCCTAATTGGCTGGCTCACTCTCCCTAATTTCTGATTGGTCCTTAGTTCCTTTAATTTGATTGGTCACTTGTCCTTGTAGCTGAATGGTCCCCTTATTTTTGCTTAAATTTAATTGGGCTTATTCCTTATGGGAGTTTAATGAATTTAAAATCTATAGTATAGTAAAACGACTTCAAATGTCTGTAACTGTACTGTTATAATCCGGACTCGCAAACGACTTTCGCCTATGACCTCGTAGTTTCGAGATCTATTTGGAAACATTAATTGTGACCTCGAAAGGTTAACAAATTTTAAAGATTAATTACAAAAATTCAAATCCCATAACTATTCAATTTAATTCCTAAAATTAACGATATTAAAATTAACTAATAAAGATAGCGTAAATGTGAAATACATATTTAAATAACGAGATACATAATGAATAGTGAAATTTCGGGGACGATTTCACAGCAAAACATTAGGCTACCTCTAGCCCAAAAAGCACTGGGTCCCACGAAAAAAGTAGCTACCATGTGAGCCAAATCTTGCCACTCTCCACCCACTTGCAAATACGCTAAAACTTTCATTTTACTTTTATTTTTTAATTTCTTTTTCTTTACATATTTTTATTCCAAAGGTCATCCTTCATTTTATCTGTATGTTTAATGCTTAAGACATAAAATGAAATAAGATGTTCTACTAAAAGGGTTTACTTTTATTAATTTCTATATAAAAACATACTACATATTAAAATGACTTTAGGGGTGCATTTGTTTGGCCTCACTAACTCTCACTAGATTAGACTGGACTACCTATTAGTGACTAAATTTAATGAGACTAAAAGGGACTTGCATGGACTACGTATTAGTGTAGTTTAGTGTTTGTTACATATTGGGACTAAGTTTAATGAGACTAAATGGGACTCGCATGGACTAACGGACACTCTAGAAGCGAAAGCCTCAATAGGACTAAAGACCACGTTCTTTCTCTGCACTCCTCCTCTAAGGCTATCTCCAACCACTTTGGCCAGAGGGCCAAATGACCAAAAATAGCTCAAAGTGACACGAAAACCATCGCCAACCGAGGGCCAGGCCAAAGGGCTCATGGCCTCCACCGGGCCAGAAAGGAGAAAAGGGCCAACCGGGAGCCAGCCAGCTAGCCCCGGGTCGGGCCATAAATTTGAAACCAACGGCTAGCTGACGTCAGTTACCGTTGAATTTGATTTTTTTTTATTATTAGGCCAAATTTTTTTAAAAAATATTTAATTATAGGCCGAGAAAGATATGATTAGTTTATAATTAGGGTGTTCCTTTTATAAGCTTGTTTGCTTACTCAATTCCCTTCCATGGCCGATGTGGGACTTTAACGCTTAAAGGCAAAATGTTTTGTCGTGAGAGCTGCTACTTGTGAATCATCTCTGGACTTGAACTAACATTTAGCCATAATTATTTGGGGTTATATATATATATATATATATATATATATATATATATATACACATATACATATATTTGTGGATGATCTCGTGACTTGAACTAACGACAGTTGTTTACATCTGAATATCATCCTACAAATGGCGGATGATGATGATGATTTTAGACTTTAAATTTAAGTTGTTGTAGTTTTTAAATTTAATTTGTAATTTTTAAATTTAAATAATAAATTATATTTGACCCTATGACCCTTTGGCCCTCGGTTGGAGATGATTTTTTGTCACAAGGTTATGTTTGGCCTATGACTTTCTGGCCCATTGGTTGGAGATGGTAAAAAATACGGCCATGCACTGTTCATTAAAATATTAATTTCTTGGAGGGCTATAAGGTTAAAACAAGCCCTCTGGCCCACCTTCGATTGGAGATGGCCTAAGTCCTAGACCTCTTTCTGCGCTTCTTCTGTCTTCATTCTCTGCCATATTCTGCCTTTTCTCCTCCGACAAGATCCACATACCTCCACCCTCTCTGATCGTCGTGGGCATAGATCACCCATTTCTTGAACTACTCCGGCCAGAGGCCATTGACCTGTCGACGGACCCCTCGCTTACTCGTCCTCTTTTTGCACGTCAAAATCAAAGGTCCACTTGAATTGATTTCACATTTTAGGAATTGGAATTGGATTTGGATTGGGTTTGAGTCAGTAGGAAGATACTGGAATTGGATTTTATTTATTTATTTATATTTTATAATTTTAAAAATTAATTATTTTTTTATTATCATATCTCTTAGTTCGACACTGCATCAAACCCTTCACTAAATCAGTCTATCTTACTCTATTATAAGCCAATCCAACTTGGTATCTGAAGTTAGTTTAGTCTAAGATAGTCTGGTGCAACAAACGCATCCTAGTCTAGAGACCTGAATTGAAAACATAAACAAACAATATACTTAAATTGCAAGGGCATTACAATTTAATTATGAGATGAAATCTTATCTTGTCTGATTTCAAAGGAATATACCAACGGATAAGATTGAGATAAGAGAATTTAATCCAACAGATTGTAATAAGAGAACCTAATCCAATGATTCATAACTTATGAAATTTAATTTTATTTAATAAATAGCCCTTCATTAAAAGAAGTTCTTTTATAAAACCCTAAAAATTCGTAAATTCTAAAATAGATTATATCCATTATTTTCCCACATACAAATCCCTTCACTAGGATCTATTTTTGTCAACGTAGTGGCCTAGAAAATGCAAGAATATGGAGTGGGGCCTCCCACCTAGTTGAAAACCCGGGACTTTAGGGAAGAACTCAAACAAAGTACCAAAATTCAACCCAGAAAACGTGGCTTACACATGAAACCCATTTCAGTTGTAATTTTATTTTCATACCCCAAAACGAAAACATAGAAAAAGTTTCAGTTTTTTTTCCACCCACGCCCACCATTTCCTTCTTTCTTTCTTCAATGGTTGCCTAAAACACTTGGGCCATTTTTGTTGAAAAAAAAGAAAGAAGAGGATTCGGAACCTAGTGTTGTGTGAGACGTGTGAGACGTGTGAGACGCGTGAGAGCATTAGTGGCGGTGGTGGTGGCTCTTGCTTGTCTCTGCTTTTCCATGTGCTTAGTTGGTTATCCTTTCACCTTTTAGACCCGAAACCGGGAACGCAGCTAGTTGGAGAGAAAGACGCTATCGCCACTAGTTACTTATGTGTTGCAAAAAAGATGCTCTTTTTATCAGTCCTTTTGGGTGTTCGCTAATCTGTACGCATTTGATTTCTGTGCTGCTCGGTTCTCCTCGGATCCAATTCATCAGGTAAGAGAAAAAAAATTGGTCTTGTAGTTTTTTTATTGTATATTTTATCAATGGGTTGAACTTTTTCTTGGAGGTGTCAGGAGTCGGTCAATTATGTTGTATGGCCACTTTGTGACCTTTTTATTTTAATAATAGGCAACTTTTGAGGCTTTAATTGTGATTTTTGTAATATTATTTTTAATTTCCTTTCTGGGTTTTGTTTGTATGGAGGTAAGATGCGTAAAGATTGAATCTTTCTTAGTCTTCTGTCTTCTTCCTCCTCAGTTCTTAGAGAAAGTGTACTGTTCTGGGCAGAGAAAAAGAAATTAAACTATGAACAGCTGCAAATCAGGAGTTAAGTATTTTTGTTTTGACTGAATTAGAAGGTAAATTGTTTGGGTTGGTGAGATTAAGTAGGTGGTAATTTTTGCTTTTTGTATTTCCATATGAGGTGTTTCTTGCTTTTTTGCTGCTTTGGATTAGGGAGAAAGTTTGAAACTTTTGAAGATATTTTGCATTTGGTGTTGATTGCATAACAAATAAATAAATAAAAATCTCCAAGCTTATTTTCTAAGATTGTGCTGGAGCCTTATGCTTCAAACTTCAGATTATGAAAACAATATCCCATCCCAAGCATGGTATTCGGCAACTTCCTTCAATTTCTGGATTTATTTCCAAAGTTTCTGAGTTGATGATAATTTGCTTGATATGCAGATATATTGGCTTTTGAAAATCTTCCGAATTTCCAAGTGATTTCTTCTTACTTTTGCAAATTGATAGCTTATGCTTACCGCTTGTGTTTGTGTTCAGGTTTTCTTGTAAGATAAGACTTGGACCGAGAGCTGTTATATAGTGCGGTCCACCAACCAACCTATGTAATACAGTTCGGGGCAGAACATAGAGGAAGGTTTATCTGCCATTGATGTGTGCTATTTGATTGGGGTCGGCAGATGGATGATAAATTTGTAGATGCTCAGAAATACCACGCGGGACAAGAGGATTCATTGCATACAGTGAGCGAGGAGCGGGAATCATCAGGAGAAGGTACTTTAAATTCGACTGGCTCAAAATTGAAAAGGTTGATCACATGGTCAAATCCACAGCATGCACTAATTTCAAATGTTAAGCGTTCGCAAATTAGTAAATGTTGCATAAAAGGTTCCTTGTTTCAAAGTGGTATTAGCTTTGACTGTAGGATTCCAAAGCATATACTGAGCTTAGATGAAAAATTTCGTCGTAAATGCATGGAATTGATTCATATTAGTGCATTCAAAGTAGCTCGATGTAATTCAGCTGTGAAATCGAGCTCTTCAAAGATCAGTGCTTTGCACGAGCGCTTGAATGTTGCTGAAATTAGAAGTGGAGATACATGTAGTTCTGCTAGATTCGTGATTGAATGTCCATTGGAAGCTGGAGGTGGGAGTGTAGTAATAAGCCCTTCTGGACGGTGGATTGTAGGTAGAGTTATGGGGAGCAAGAGTATGACAAACATATTAAAAAGCCCTTTGTTTCACCAATTTGGGCCCTTAGGTGGCAATACAGACTTGAGAAGAATAGACTGCAATAATGACAAAGGCTCGATATGCTATGATTACACAGACTCACCTGGCGGATTTAGTTTCTCTTCATCACCGATGCTAGAAAAGGAAAAACCAATTAAGGGAAGCCATAAAAATGAATTTGATGCCGGCCACAAAAGACTTGCTTCTATCTGCAGCACAAACTCAGCGTCATCTGATCAATCTTCTGCTTCTGCTTTCGCCACTGTCTCTCGGGGAATGCTTCAATGCACTTGGAAGGGAGGGAATCCTCATTTTGTTTTCTCCACGGATGAACAAGGGGAGATCTATGTAGCCAACTTGTGGAAAGTTGAGTCTGAAGAGGATAAGACTCTGGACTATATATATTTGTTTCATTCAGGAAAGGGTGGGCAAAAGGACCATGAGATTCGTGATACTGAGTCGCAACTTGTTGGTAAGATGAAAGTCAATAATTTGGTCTCCCTCTGCCCAAACAATTCAAAGATCATGGAGACTGAATTTGTTTTGTTTGGTGGTGGTATTGAGATACAAGCTTCTAGCCATAACCTCAGGAAGAGCAAGGGGTTATCGAAAAAGGTGGTTGAGGCGTTCAGGACAAGTCACTCATCCAAACAAAGAACCATCTCCAAATTGAGTGGACCGTGCTCCATAGTTGAAAATCCTTCTCAGGAGCCATGCCTTGATACAGGCAACAATCATGATGCTCTAGGTGTGCCCAACTTGTTAGAAGATCATCTCCCTCCAAATTTCGAATTGGCTTCCATTGTTGTGAAAGACCATCTCCCTGATGATCGAAAGGAGGAAGCTGGAGGTTGGGGTTTGAAATTTCTGAAGAAAGTTGGGAATAAGAAAATCAGTAACTCCGTGGAGGCTTCAGTACCTATCAAATGTTGTCGTAATAATAGTGATTTCTCTACCAGTATGGATGTCCTAGTCCCAGCAGGAATTCACGGTGGGCCAAGGACCAGAAATGGTGGTCCTTCAAGTCTTACTGAAAGATGGAGATCTGGTGGACAGTGTGACTGTGGAGGTTGGGATCTGGGGTGCCCTCTCACAGTACTCAAAACCAAATCAAGCAAAAAAGACATTTTGCCTCAATCTGACATTCCGGAGGAGTGCAAGTCGTTCGAATTAAATAGAATGGTACGCCAATCTCCTATCTCCTCACTTTCCCTTATTCCCCCCTTTTTGTTCATTACAATGTGAGATAGATCATTTATTGAGCTAGTATTAAAATTGACTTCATCCGTTCATCCATATACGTTGATAATTTTTGTGAATCTGGTGTTTAATCTGATAAGTTACTTTTCCGGTTCTAGTTGTCTTTCAGTTTCTCATGAGAGACCTAATAATCTGAAAAGGTTATGCAATTTGAGAAAATGATATTGTTTTGGGCATAAGATAGATCCTGCGATATTGTATTTTGACTTGAAAAAGAAGAATGAAATGCTTTTATGAATTACATGATGGGAACTGAAACTTGGTATTCACTATTTCCGTGTGATGCTATGCTATTGCTATCTATGATCTCTTCGAAGCCACACCATGTTAGCTGATGGTGAAAAGATTTCCCGAACTTGTCATATACCAACATCTATTCATGCTATTTCTGTCCTACTTTTAACTTTTGAGCAACTATGTAATAATCTGAATTATGTGTTAAGATGCTTATCTTTCATTTCAATTCTTCAGGGTTCAGAGCATGGTCCTTCTGCATGGAGGATGTTGAATGTCCATGATGGATTGTATTTTGTTCATTTTCAACCATCTCTGTCAACTCTGCAGTCTTTCGCAATTGCAGTAGCGATTATCCATGCACAGAGTCCGGCCCTCCAACCCAAATGTACAGGCGTTTTAACTACCAAAGTCCAGGGTTTGAAAATTATGTAGTTTTTATAACTTTTACTTTACACAGCAGTCGGTAATTTACAATACAGATGTATTTAGGATTGAGATGATTTCTATTTAGTTTTGTGGTTTTCAGTTAGCGTGATATAGTGATATCAGACAGTTTTCTGATTCTAGGTTAGTTGGCATTGGTTGGGATTTAGTCCTTGGTTCTTAGGCCACAAACCCTTGTAATCTGCTCCTTTTTATTGAATGTACGAGGTTGTGATATTAATTGAAGTGATGGCAAATCATCTTGAAGCCAATCTCAACTGGGATTTAATTTTGAATTTTCATTTTCCATATAACTCTGGTCTTAACATCCTTGCTCCGGTCACCACTAGTTCGTTCAAGACCATCTTCTTACATGGAATGCATCATTCTGGTGCTCACAAAGTAAGTTTCTTTCATCTTTCTTCCTTCTGGTGCTTGTTTTCATCAGGACATGTTTTAGTTAAAGAGCTTGCATTTGACGTATCAGATACTCTGTAAAACAGTTTTTCACCCACTAGGTATGCATCATATACTCAAAACTAGTTGTCTCACTTTAAATGTAGAAAGTGATAGAGATTGAAACAAAAGAATCTCAGTAGATCACTAGTTAAAAGCCAAAAACATGCCGATTGGCTCGAACTATGGACCAGGCCGCTAATGGTGATTTGGTTTGTAGTGTTATACATAGAAGCAGGTCAAGAATTCTGGATTGCTGTGATGTCTGGATTGTTGATCATGCTACGAGTTTAGTAGCGTGGTTATTAATCTATCATATGCGTTTAGATTATGGTTTATATTTAATGACTAGAAATTTCCGCGAGACATTTTTTCCTCTACGGTATTGTAATATTATTGCTGAGAAAATTCATTTTTCTGCAGTACTAGTGAGAAATCAGAAACAGGCATGATAGATTGTCATTGAACATAATCACTTACAGTGTTTGGTGACACTTCTCTTGATGTGTTTTAGATCGGCTGCCAGCTGATGATCATCAGATGCTTCAATCCATTGATTCAACATTGTTCATGAATTTTATGTTTACCAAACAGATGTATTGGAATAAGGGAAGGTTGCAGCCCTTGAAAATATTTTCAGGGTTTTCGGAGCCATAGCGGTGGTGCATTCATAGAACTCCAAGTACTGCTTCACTTTGTTTTGTTTCCAATTTTTGAAACAAAGTAAAAGTAGTTCTTTTTCAAAGACAATCAAAAGTGGTTCTTTTTTCCCAATGTCCTTCAAAAAAAAATAGAGTAAAATATAAGGGGCTAACTACATTTCCTTTGGAAAAAGCAACCTCAGAGATCTGAGTCCAACCGATGGAAATGCTCTAAATAGGGAAAGATTGGGATGTGTATATAAGGTCTATTTCACCATGCTTGGTAGTTATGCAAAGCTATTAGCAGATACAAGTTTTCTTAACAGTTAGATCATCTCAGGGTGATCCTTTTGTCGACGGATGCTCCTATTACACTCGTAGTCTCTGAAGGATGAGAACCAACTATGTAGCATCTACATCGAGAATTCAAGTATTGTATACGTCATTAGTCCGATCCTTTGTAGGAACTACCCGTAATAACGAACTTGCAAAATGAATCTCTTTATCATAAAGAGATTCGTTGTTCTTTTTTTGGTTGGACCATTCACTGTTTTGAAGAAATGATATTTTTTTATACGAAAAAAAAGAGGATTAAGCTTAACTTTACAATAAACTAAAATGAAACGTTGGGTCCCCCCGCCACACACGCGCGCGATGTCCTCTGCAGAACAGGGAGGAGGAGGAGAAATAAGACCTTCCCAAAAGCCCATTTCTAAGAGAGGCCACGACAATGTTCAAGAGGCCCACGGCATATCTGGTATTTTAACAAAAGAGTATGGACCGAATGGTAATCTGACAAAGTGTTACCCGGCAGGAAACCCTACGCCGCTCTCTCTCTATATATACATCTCCTAAACCCTAATCGCTCTCTCAGTCCCGTTTCCGCAGCAGCCAAGATGTCGAAGCGAGGTTAGTTCTTCGCCGCCTTCTCTCTTCCACTTTTTTGATATTCTCTCTTTGCTTAATTTTCTGTTTGGTTCCTAGGAAAATCTAGTTGATGCATTCAATTCAACGATTTGTATTTGTTTTTGTTTGCCATTAATCAATTTTAACTTCGTAGTTGCTGATTCTTGAGCTATCCTAGGAAAAATGAAATGTTTATTACTTCGATTGAACATTTTCGATGTTGATTTCCGTTGATATGTATCGGATTGGTCATTAAAATGTTACAAAATCCCAGTTTGGACTGATTGTGGGTAAAGATTGCTCTAAGTGAAATTTTATATTTTCCTGTGTGGCGAAACATATGAATAGAAGATAGAAAATGTGGGTATTTGATTATTTAATATGATATGGTTCTGATGTTGATATTTTTGGTTAGGGCGTGGAGGGTCCGCTGGAAACAAGTTTAGGATGTCACTGGGTCTTCCAGTGGCAGCCACTGTGAACTGTGCCGATAACACCGGAGCTAAGAATCTTTACATCATTTCCGTGAAGGGGATCAAGGGTCGTTTGAACCGGTTGCCATCTGCTTGCGTTGGTGACATGGTCATGGCCACTGTCAAGAAGGGAAAGCCTGACCTCAGGAAGAAGGTCCTGCCTGCTGTCATCGTGAGGCAGCGCAAGCCATGGCGCCGAAAGGATGGTGTTTTCATGTACTTTGAAGGTGAATATTATTTTCTTCAGTAATTTCTCATAATGTTTCTGATTTTATTTTTCTTGCTGATTTGTTCTGTTGTTGGATCAAGTGATAGAAAAATTTACTTGGTATGCATACTATATTTCTTTATCCGATCATAACAGTGGGTCTTGACATTGTGTTGCTGGTGATTATTCTTTGGATTTTACTGCATTTTAGAGCTCTTTGTTTGGTAGTTATTATCATTAAGTGTTGTTGGAATTCGTTATAACTAATTTTAATTTTGATGACTAATACGGAATCAGAAACTGCAACTCCGGTGGAGTTCTGTGTGAAGATGATTTGATGCTTCCTAATACCAGCTACATCAATGATTATTGTCTGTCCAATATTTTTTGAGTGGATTCTCTTCTGTATGGAATCTTGTCTTTCACCATTCGATACATACATGTTTTTTATATTAGACATTTATTCTACCCTTGATGTTGCCCCATTGTACATTTGTGATCACTTATTAAGTTGAAATGCATATTTAGGATGACCAGACATAAGTCAAGTGTCCTATCTATCTGGTGATTGATGCTGTTACACTTCTGGAAAATTAATAGGGCCCATTGATACAGGCGTGCTTGCATTTATGCTCACATTAGCTCCATTTGGGCACCACATAATTTGATTAGGTATAGCGTAGTATTATTGTCCTACATTTTGTATTGTGCGTGGGAATGTTTGTTTAGTTCCATTAATGTTTTAAAATATTAGATAACCAGACAGAAGTCAAGTATCCTCTTTAAATGGTGGCTGATACTGTTACACGTTTGGAAAATCGAAGGTGCCCATCGTTACAGCTGTACCTTGCTTTACATGTTCACATCTGTTACATCTGGTCCCAAATTTTGCCATTGAAATTGATTAATGTTTGTAGAACTTGACCGGTAATAGTGTAGTATGGTTATCATACATATTGTGTGCATGGAATTGTTTGTTGGTGAGTCCCAATAGCTTTTAATCATAGCTATAAGATAACCAGACAGAAGTCAAGTATCCTCTTTATTTGGTAGTTGATGCTGTTACACGTCTGGAAAATTGAAAGTGCCCATCGTTACAGGTGTACCTTGCTTTACATGCTCACATCTGTTACATCTGGTCCCTACATATCTGTTCATGTGAATGCACATTTTGTTAGCTTCTTTGTAGTTTTTTTAACTGCTGATAATGTTTATAAAACACTCTCGTGTGCATTTCATTGTCTACCACGGTGTCGTACTGAAACTGTTTGCTTTATCTGCAGATAATGCTGGTGTTATTGTGAATCCGAAGGGAGAAATGAAAGGTACATCCCAAATCATGAAGTTATAAAGTTTGTAACCCTTCGATAGGTTAATTTAGTCGCCTTTTCTTATTGGTTGCTCTTTGTGTTTGTTTAGGGTCTGCTATTACTGGTCCGATCGGAAAGGAGTGTGCTGATCTCTGGCCTAGGATTGCAAGTGCTGCTAATGCCATCGTCTGAATGTTACTCTCTGGGCTTTTGAATAGGACAGATATATGATGAGTTGTGGTTGTTTTTGTTATTAGAAGGCAGGTTTTTCCTGAAATTTGACTAAATTTTGTTTCATCTTGTTGATGTGTTGTGCAAACTTAAATGGATGTTGTTTTGTTCTAGATATTACTGTTATGCTTAATTTTCGGAGTTTAGAAATTGCATTGTGTTATTCCAAATTCTATTTTTCGTTCAAATTCAAGTGTGAATTATGTTCTTACAACTAAATTCCTCCTTTTTGTTTTTTAAACAAATGATTATTTATGCTTATGAGAAAGAGGTAAGCGTAGTTTCACAATGGTAAAAATTGATTCCAGGAACTCGTTTAGTTATTATCTTGGCTGTATCATTAGTATTTATTTTGGGAATTGTTATTAACATTATAAAAATTTTATTCTACATTTTTTACAAGTATATTTTTCTTTTTAATAATAGAAAGTTTGGAGTGCGAAATAAAATTTTTAAAAGTGTTAATAATAATTCTTTTTATTTTGTATAAGGGCTTAAAAGTCACTCTATATAAGGTCAAAACAGCCATTAACTTTTTGTATTAAAAAGTAAGTGGGAAAAGAGGAGTGAGGGATTTGAGCTTCGCAGCATTCTAAATTCGAGTCTCGACCTCAGGCTAGCGTGTTAAAATAATAACTTCATTCTAAATTCGAGTCTTGACCTCAGGCTAGCGTATTAAAATAATAACTTTGTTGTTGAAGATAATTCCAAGAAATAAGCTGAGGGATATTGTAAATTGATTGACATTAGTTTCCTTCCTTTTATGTATGTATAGCAGACGCAATTATAGGAGATAGTCTAGGATCCCTATCCTATATAAAGATGTAATACTAGCATTGAGTTGATATAGAGATTTTATTTTTCACCAAATATTCTTCCTATATGGTACAAGAGCAAACGATCTTGGTAACCTAAAGAAACCCTAGCCGTCACCATGGGAGACGACAATGAAAACTCAAAGAAGCCAACTCAGTTGGGCATGGCATCAAAATTTGATAGTCCCAATCACCCACTGTATCTTCATCATTCAGATCAGCCTAGGTTGGTACTTGTATCACAACTCCTGATCGAGGATAATTATAACACATGGAGTCACTCCATGACCATGGCCCTGACAGTCAAAAACAAATATGGTTTTGTTGATGGGTCGATCAAGAAACCAAGTGAAGAAGACATTGATGAATTGCAGCAATGGAGACGCTGCAACAGCCTGGTCAAAACTTGGTTATTGAGTTCGATCTCCAAGGAGATTGCAGCTAGTGTGTTCTATTGTGATGGAGCACAAGCAGTTTGGAACGAGTTGCGAGAACGCTTTTCTCAGGTAAACAGTGTTCGAGTTTTCCAAATTGAAAATGAAATTCATGATTGTGTTCAAGGCACCATGTCTGTTGGGTCTTATTTTACCAAACTCAAAGGCTTGTGGGATGAAAGGGACATTCTTTCTCCTATCTCAGCTTGCAACTGTGGAATTACGAAGGAGGAATTGTCCTATCGAGAAACACAGAAAACTATCAAGTTTCTCATGGGATTGACTGAGTCCTTCGTTATGATGCGAAGACAAATATTAATGATGGACCCTCTGCCTAAGGTTAGCAAAGCTTACTCTCTTGTTCTCAAACATGAACGTCAGCGTGATGTGTCTGCTAGAAAAGGAGTGACTTAACCTGAGCCATCGGTGTTTGCAACCAGAGAATACACAGAAAGACACCAGGAAGAAAAGTAACAACTTCAAGTGTGAAAAGTGCGACAAGACTGGCCACAACACAGAGAATTGCATATCACATTTGAAGTGCATTTATTGTGGGTGGAGAGGCCACACAGTTGATTATTGTCACAAACTCAAGAAGTCCGAATCCGATAAACCTAAGAGTAATTCTAATGGTAACCATGTTGCTGCACATCAACTTGAGAAGAAGGATCTCTCCAATTCTTTTCCTTTCACACAAGAGCAATGCCAACAAATCCTGAACATGCTCAGCAAGAATAAAACTGTCATGGCGAATCATGTGGGTAATTCCTCAACACATGACGAACTCTCAGGTAAAGCCTTCTGTTTTTCTACTAATGGAAGGAAAACTACTTGGATCCTAGACAGTGGTGCCACAGACCACATGGTTTCTAGTCCCGATTTACTTACTTCTTGGAAGCTTGTCAAAAATAGAACTGTTGAACTTCCAGATGGTTCCATGGCTTATGTTACTCATATTGGACAAATCATATTTGCCTCTAGTTTGGTTCTTGAAAATGTTTTGTGTGTCCCAGTTCTTCAACTAAATCTTATTTCCATCAGTAAACTCACCTATCAATCCATTTGTATCACTGTTTTTCTTAACCATTTTTGTGTAATATAGGACCTACGTTCGGGGAAGATGATTGCGATGGGAACTGAATGAGAGGGGCTTTACTATCTTGATCAAACCAAGAAAGCTTTTTACAATTCTATATGCTCACATTCTCCTAGCCTTTGGCATCAACGTCTTGGGCATCCATCCAACAAAGTGTCTTCTTTATTTTCTGTTTCACACAACAATAAAATTTGTGACGCAGACAAGTGTTTGGTTTGTCCATTGGCTAAACATACCAAATTACAATTTTCTTTAAGTGCCATTTCTAGCAATGCTCCTTTCGAATTATTATATGTTGATATTTGGGGTGGCTATCACATTGCATCTCTTTTGGGGGCACGTTATTTTCTCACCATTGTTGATGATTTCACTAGATGCACTTGGGTGTATTTGATGTGCCATAAGTCTGATACTAGGGATCTTCTAGTTAAATTCATTAACATGGTTGAGACACAATTCTCTTCAAAAGTTAAAATTGTGCGTAGTGACAATGGTCCTAAATTCAAGGTTGAGTCTTTCTATTCTCCCAAAGGCATCGTTCATCAAACTAGTTGTGTCAACACACCACAACAAAATGGTGTGGTTGAAAGAAAACATCGTCACTTGCTCAATGTTGCACGTGCCCTTCTTTTTCAAGCAAAGCTTCCTAAACAATTTTGGGGGGATGCCATCCTCACAGCAGCTTACCTCATAAATCGCACACCCACACCTCTCTTGAAAGGCAAAACTCCTTACAAAGTTTTGTTTAAAATCACACCAAAATACTCTCACTTACGCGTTTTTGGTTGTCTATGCTTTGCATCCACGCATGCTCAAAAACCATCCAAATTTGATGCACATGCAATTCAATGTATATTTCTTGGTTATACTTATGGACAAAAGGGATATCGAGTGTATGAACTTGAATCAGGAAAACTATTTGTCTCCCGTGATGTCACGTTTTTTGAAACTGAGTTCCCTTTTCACATCACCTTCCGCTACCAATAATGATGATCCTCCATTCCCTATGCCAACAACATTGCCATTTGATGACACTCCTACACCCTCCAATGGCACATCATCTTCATCCCCAGAAAAATTTGAGCCTATAATTTCGAATAATACTACTTCACCACCACTAGACACAGACACCTTGTCCACAAACCCACCAAATACCACAATTTCACAACCCCCTGTGCATCGTCATTCTAGCAGACCAATGGTGCGAACTAAGTAAGCACACAAATTAAACCCTCTTTTTGTCAATTGTAGTATAAGTATAAGTAGGGATCGTTCTGGACCGGGGATTAGGAGGGATTGTCAATCACTTGGATTTTTGACTCAAAAACGTAAAAACAATATAAAACACTAAACTAAATTGATTTCTAACTAATTTGACAATAAAGTAAAGGGGGGATTGTGTTTGGACGAGATTAAATTAAATGGACAAATTGTAATTAAAGGCAAAACGTAAATATGAATGAGATGAAAATATGGATGATGGAATAGCCAAGGGGTTCATCTCCACACATGTTATACTTGCATACAAAATTGATTCTCAGTTGGTCTTTCGATAAATTATGAAACTCAACACTCCAAGTTAATTAGGTCCGCTTAAATTAACCTTCAAATTTCCCTAGAATCATTGAATTGGATGAATATGCATCGCAAATAAATTATTCCTAACAAGTTCTCTATATGAACAGCATGATAAAGATACAAGTTAGAATCATTACGTTCTTTGGAAATTATAAGCATCGACAAGGCATTTGTAACTATGAAAAGCATGATACTCGTGCCAAGAATTCATTTAACGCGATTGTTTATAAGCAACCTCCACTACTTGTGAATATAAGTTCATAACGATTAGGTGAAATTCACTTATATTCTAGCGTCAGATTTATGCATGAAAATTAAGCGCGCATTCTTAATAAACATTCATAAATAAGTTATCAATCAAACGGTTAAACAAATTGAATCCAACATTCATGAAATTCCAACCAAAAGTAATCAATTCATATTGCAAGTATAAACATGGTTTCGAATCACCCCCTAGCTAACTAGGGGGATTTAGCCTCTCATGTTCGCAACAAGAAAAATAAAATTGAATTTAAACATAAAGCACAAAGGATTGATTACACCTAGAACGCCCAATGAATCCACGTGAATTGGTGCGCGTCGAAGCTCCTCTTTCCTCTTCTCCTTCTGCGGCAGATTGGTTAAATGGATGATTTGGATGTTATTTTGGGTTGGGGATGGATTTAGGGAGGATTGGTGGTGTAGGAAGGTGTGTAAGGTGATGGAGGAAGGTTGGTATGATGGCTGCAATGGGGGGAATTTCTGCGGACAGATTGGAAAATATGGGATGGTGTTGCACGGATGATGGGGAATATGGTTTATTAGTCTAGCACGGATGATGGGGAATTAGAATTGTTAATGAATTAGGTTATATTGGCTACGGAGGGAAAAGAATGTGAGAATGCTCCACGGGTTTCAATGAATAATGGGATATATTGTATGTAAAATGGGATAGTGGATGTAATGCACGGATGGAATAGGATAATGGGAAGTGGTGTGGGTGGAATGGTGTATATAATAATTAGAATGGTGGGTGATGGTGCTACGGATGGAATAATAGGTTGAATGTGCTGCAAAGAATAATGGTTTAATGGATAATTAGTGGGATATGGCACGGCAATATGGAAGGAAAATGGGAAGTGGTGGATTTAAAAATGGGAAGTGGACGGTTTGTGAATGGGATATAGTGGTGTAGGTGGAATGGTGGGGGGATATTAGATTAGAAAAAAGGCATGGTGGAGGTAATGC